AAACTGTACTCACTTAACGCCGCAAACATCTGGGGTCCGTTTAAAGCACGTGGCGTACGCAAGATTGGCGATGTAAGGTCCATCACCGCGGTTGTAGTTGAAGGATTCTATCACGCCAGACCTATCAGGGAAGTACTGCAGACAACCAGGGGGCGCTGGAATAGACAACAATAAGCTTTGTATTTTCTCTTAGAGCGCGCACACTTTTGACTATACACGCACAACTGTATTACGCTTTGATTCCTAAGAGCTTATATAGAGATTCCTAAGGTGCGCACACGATTTTTAGTTGTGCAACTAAACAGTTGAATGCAGCAAAACAATCGACAATCGCACAACAGTGAGTTTAGTCAAATGTGAGCGGCAGCTCTTAGTTTTCAAGCCAGTATTATTCCTAATAAAGTTTAGAGCAAATCCGTAAAGTTCAAACATTTCCAAGTTTACAAGACATTGTCTACTCACCTATGAGGTACTCGTCTCTGTCCGCGGAGGAGGTGAGCGGGGTGGAAGGTAGAGAGGAGGTGATCGCCTCAAACAGACCGTCACGGAACTTGCTGCAAACATTAAACACTATTTAAAAAATATAATCAAAGGTTATTGAACAATCACTAGTATTTCAGAAGACAATCATCACCAATCACAAATTCTCAAACATTTCTGTATGACCGATTTAAAAATTTTACTGGTTGCTATAAACACTGCTCCTTCAATCATCGTTAAATGCGACCCTTTTGAGTTCTTATGTGGAACCCAAGCGGTCTACATCTCAAGGATATGTTAAGATCGTATACATCTTTGACTAAACTATCGCAAGAATTAAGTCAAGCTTTGATTCCTATCAGCTAATATGGAGTGCAAATAAACAATTGAATTGGCTGAGAAACAATCGACAATAGCAACACAGTGTATTGTAGTGTGCGGTTACTCTAAGTTTGGCTTTAAGTGGGTACTTACCCGAGGGTATTGAAGCACTCCAGTTGTGTGACTTTGATTTTCCACGTAGCTTGCGGGAGATGTGGCTGCGTGTCGCGATCCGAGATCTTGAAGTTCATACGAACAGATTTGCTGTTTGTTGACGCGTTTACTCGCACGTATACTGTAAACAAAATTATTGAATATTGAATAGGATATAGATGACACGCTGTTTTTGAGCACAATCCGAACTCTCCAGAGGCGTCATTTTCAATTTTAAATTTAGAATTACATTGATATTTCTAAAAGAATGGTTAGGTAATGATTAAGCAATTCAGAGTCTTGCAGTAAATGCTAAAAACATAGTTCTGGCTTTAGCATGAGATTTCGTTAACGCGGAATTAAAAAAAATTAAGTTGCCAATGTATTCCAGACTATTACATTGAAGCCAAATTTTACCAAGATATGTTGAGTCGTTCTGGAAATACCTTGAAACATCCATCCATCTAAAGATTCGAATTTATAATATTAGAAGTGAGATAACTTACAATGTTGTCCACTATTGTCACCGCATAGAGAGGGCATGGTGTCAGAGTTGGCCTGCAGGTTGGTCACTTGGAAGATGTCATTCCTGCAGGTGTAGCCTGGACGGTGTGTTACATTTTCTACTGGATCCACCTAAAAGTAACATTTTATTACAGCGCCATCTATTATCAACATTGCTAAACTTTAACACCTTAGGGATTCGGAATCCTGTTTTATAATTTCTTACCGTTGTTGGTGGTGCAAGGTTGAATGTTTCAAAGTCGATTCTCATTTGACAAACGTTGTTATTGTTAATCTCCACATTGTAGGAGCATTCCAAGCCAGAAGACTCTTTACTCAGTGGGGGGTTGATGAAAATAGCAACCTTTGTGTTCGTTCTAATGTCGCAGGCGTTTACTGTAAATAGCGCCATCTTGTGAGTTGAAATGTAATTAAAAATTAACTAAGCATTTTGTGATAAAACTTACGTGAACAGCAGGTCGCAAATACACCACAAAATCCAATAGCCTTTCCTCCTTGAGTGTTACACTGATTTCTCGAAAGACATACTCCTCCGGTACTTCTGTCAGATCCCAAGCATTGTTCACCGTTGCCTACGGTGAATATACTGCCAGGGGCTTGCCTGGGAGCTGAAATTCACAATAATAATATCATTTTTCATTTTATTTAGACTTTTACATATTTTTAAATGTACTGATAAAAATATACATTTTTAAGCAGGTAGTGCCCACACTCATCAATAGATGGCATTAATTCAATTTAAAAATTCACCGTTTTTTGTGTATCAATTTTTCAGATATTGTAAAGAAAGTCGTTTAAATTCAAGAACATAATAATTTACCTCTAAAGAGATTTGTAGCGAATGTACATTGCGCCGCGGCTACCAACAGCAACACCTTATGCAACGCCATCTCTTAATTTAATCTGTAACCAAAAGCATTTCATCCGTTAACGAAATCTTGGAACACAATCCAATCCAATTTAAACGTATTGAAAACTTATTTATTCAAAACATGCCAACAACAGATCGATAGTACAAAAAAGGCTCCATCAATTATCTTAACTCTTTCGGCAACCGATACCGTTACAAAAAAACAACTGGTTACTTCGATTAACCGTTAACGAGGTAACTACGTGTATGATTTTAATAATAAGAGAACCGTAGGCACAGTTAACCGTAACAAGATGTTAGCCGGTTACAAATCACTGATAATTATAGGTAAATATTATAAGCGTTTAGTTGCAAATATGATATGGTTTTAGGTGCATGATGTTGTTCCCAAAATTTTGTTTCGCTGCATTTGTACTCATTATATTACACGCCCGAAGGGGTACTTATTGTTGTTACTTTATATAGATGTTTGTATAATTTAAATGCAATAAATGAATAAATAAAATAAAAATATTAAGATAATTGAAGTAAGACCTTTTAGGCAACTGTTTTCTTGAACTCGAAAGGGGACACATGCCAGTAAACTCAGTACAGTCTCGTACCACCTACTGACACAATAAAGGGATGTAACTCGACTCGTTTCGGTCATTGACAATTTTTTATATCATACTAGCTTTCGCCCGCGACTCCGTCCACGTGGAATTTAAACGAAAGTGAGTAGCCTATGTGTTCTTCCAGATTATTCTCTACATCTATACTAAATTTCATTGAAATCCGTTCAGTAGTTTAGGCTACAAATTCTAACAAACATCCATTCATCTAAATTTTAGCATTTATAATATTAGTATGAATTATGATTGAGTACAGATTGTTTATTAAAGGCTTTAACATAATAAAAACCTATTTATAAGGAAATTACTGGAACGAATGCACGTGAACAAAGACATTAAAAATATATAGATAAGACATGAACAATGCCTACTCTATCTGTTGTTTGAATCTCTGCACGAGAATGACAGTAAAAATTAAAAGTAAAAAAATCTTAGGTTATTTTCGTATAATAAACCACTAGTCAATAATACTTTTATTTGTATAAAAACAATTGTAAAAGATTTTTATGTTAACATGGTGTCGTTTTTTGTTCAAGGAGTTTTTAAATGTTTTTAGGTCTCAAGCCATTACAAAAGAAGAAATTTAAATTATTTAAAATTAGAACACATTGCCGATGTCATCATTTTTTCTATGTTTTTTTCTGTACATATTTTACCAACACACGTCTCCGTTAAAATAATTTTATTTCTAAATCTTTTACGATATACATTTTGGTCCTTCGAGCCGGATTTCGATTTTACGTCAACGGAAAATTACTATAAGTTAACCGGGATTCGAACGTACGTCCCACTGTCGATGTCAAAACCTCTAACGGTAAACTACGATGCAAATACATTATAATATAGCAGTTAACTTGATTTACCGTTAGCCGATAAACTGGCAGATGAAACTTTACGATGCATTCACCAACTTAAGTTGGTTAAATGTTCAACTAACAACCTATCTGTAATTTGAGGTTAACATTTCAAATAAAAGATAAAAAACGGTTAAATTTTGAATTTAGAATGTGAAAAAAAATAACAGACAGATCATGAAAAAATCAAAGGAAGTATTAGAAAAAAAGGCCTTGCAATAATATAATAGAATTAATTTGAAAATGTTTTTATCAAACAAAAAAGAGAAACGGCGTTTCACTGATTGTTCAAAGAAATTATGAAAGTGCATGTGCTCAAAATTAAATATAAAACTCGATCAAGTTTGAGAACTTAAAGTACCGTAGTCTTTATTAAGAGCAGTGCAATTTGGTCATATTTATATCGTTGAAGTATAAAAAAGCACGTGTTTTAATAAAATTGTTACGAAGTAATTTTTTAGCAACTTTATTATGTACGAGTTATAAGAAATAACTAACCTAAGCTAATAAACATAATTTTCACAAGTTACGTGTTAATTGGATTGTCACAGAATGCTTTATTTATAATATTTTTTTAAAATTAAATTTGAGTTTAAAGTGATGATAAAATTAACCATAATTTTCTTAACATCCAAGTCAATAAAAAATAGAAGTTTCACAAAAATAAAGATTGAATTTAAGGAGCCCTTGTCTTGTTAAGTTATTGAACCGAAATAAGCGCATTATTTTTAAAGAATTCTGCCCTACTGAGGTACACTTTCATAAGGGTATATTAAATTATATTTACTACTTTCTTTAATATTTAAATAATTGTCAGAAATCTAATCATAATTTTCTTAGGTTTTAATTTCCAAAAATATCTGTGTCAATGAAAAGTTAATAAAAATAAATATATGAAAAGTACGTACGTGCGTCGGTGGTTGCCGCGACGATCGATGTGATTTGATTATGTAAGTTAAAAAGCTTTTTATACCGCCGAGACATGACTGGTCTCCGGTCTTTGGGCAGCGTGTGCGCCGCGTCGACAAACAAACTTAAAAATGGTCAATATTGTTTATTTACACACGTTTACTAAACCTATTTACTCTTTCCTGTTCTTAGAATATTGAATAAATTATATTTGCAGTTCAATTCTGTTGATTGACAGAAATATCTTAGGTCTTTTAAAAAAGCTCTTGTCACGAAAGCTCCGAAATCATTAAAAATTTAGTTATGGTAGGATATTGTTGAAATTTCGTAATTAAATGGTACACAGATTATAATATCATCTAAAATACATATATTAGTAAAGTGGAGTAGTTACTGGCATGCCAGTTACTGGCATATGTGAGCCACTAGCGCGTATTCACAGTAAATCGGTCACGAGATCGTACAAGACAAAACGTCATTGTCATTTATACCCTAGACCCATCTTGCAACTTATATACAGGTAGCTGTCATGTCATTAAATATGCGTCTTAGCTACTTGTAGTAGGTACTGGCATGGAAGTTAGCATGGAAGCATGTCTATAGCTGTCACATACTGATATGCAAGTGTGCATGAGTTACTAGCTTGTGTTGTCCTCATATAAACGTCATAAAGGAAATCCCTAAACTAGGGGTCAATTAACTACTTACTAACTCAAACTTAAAAATGTAGTTTTCATGTCGAGGTTTAAGTTTTTAGAAATTGTCATATAAAATGGCTTTTTGTAAGTTCACAGTATTTCTGTCCTATAATTACTTAGGACAAACAATATGTATGTGTATAAGAGAGGGCGCACACTTTTGACTAAACTCTCGCACAACTTATGTGCGATTGTCGATTGTTTCGCAGCCAATTCAAATTTAGTTGCACATATAAAAATCGAGTAGTGTACCTCCATATAAGTTCATAGGAATCAAAGCGCGACTAAACAGTTGTGCGATTGTTTAGTCAAATGTGTTCGCGCTGTAAAGGTTTGAAAGAATTAAATTTAAATAAAGGTTTTGATTGGTCCATTTGATAAATCTTCGTTATATCGTTGAGATGTTTGCAACAGGTTTATCCCTAATTTAAATATAAATGCATTTAAACTCAAGGTAGAGGTCAAATGCAGTATCAAGGACACACGGTTCAAATGAGATCGAGCTTTTGCCAATTTACATTTGTGTTTAAAATATTCGTATCACCAAAGCTGGTATATAAATAAGTTTTGTTAAGTCTGGTTATACATATTTTATAGTGACTTCGTTAGTGGTAGAGCCTGCTTTAACATCTTAGGATAGATGGGTCGGGGCAATACCACGACCACACAGAAGACAGACATGAAGTGGGAGCAATTCCGCGTATAGTCTGATGAGTGTGGTGCGTAGGCCTAGTTTTAGCCCGTTTTCTTTCCTATCAGTTCCTTCCAAAAAAAGATGGGAAGGGACAGTGGATTTGATAATGGAGGAGTCACATAAGAAGTGGAAATATCTTTATGTGCGTGTCTTCCTGCTTCAATTAAGGGTAGGCATTATCTGCAATAGCGGATTTCTCTGGGCAGCAGTCATTTTTGCCATTTACTAATATTATAAATGCGAAAGTTTAGATGGATGGATGGATGGAGTTTGCAGCCTAAACGACTAAACGAATCTGGATTTAATTTGGCATAGATGTAGAACATAGTCTGGAAGAACAAATAGGTTACTGGCTTTTGTTTTTTTTAATTCCACACGGACGAAGTTGCAGGCGAAAGCTAGTCTTGAATGCAATTTTGAAACAGTTTGTATTCGTCCCTTGAATGTAGAGGCTTTGGGCTTTTTTAACTATTTTTATATGAGAAACGAATGAACATAAGTTAAAGATAGGCTTTCGTTTCCGCAGATCAGAAGGTCCCACGTTAGAACCTGTTTTACGTCAAGTAACTGTTCACCAAGTTATCTCAATTTTTAACTCAAACTTAACTCAATGCACTTAACACTTTACTAATAAATGATAATTAACAGACGAATATCTAAATAATACATATTGTAAAAGAAATTGCATAGAAAGATGAATAATTAGCGTATATCCGATACTTCGTTTTTGCAATAAATTACTAGCTTTTGTACGGGATTCCTTTCGCGTGGATTTAAAGTGGATTTAAAAACATCTGTTAATAGCCTCTGTGTTCTTAGACTATCCTCTACATCTATGCCTTTCAAGGATTTTTTTTTTTATAATACAGGGTGGCAAACGGGCAAGCGGCCACCAGAATCAACCGAAAAGGAAAGCGACCGCTGCCCATAAACATCCGCAATTGCTGATGCATTGTCTACCCTAGATTGACGAAGGACGAGAAGCACATAAAGAGGACTATTCCTCTTCCTATGCCTCTCCTCAACCGTCAAATTCACTTTTCCTTCCCATCCTTTCCTCTTAAGAAAAGGATGAAAAGGGAAAAGGACTAAAATCAGGCCTCCGGCACCACACTCATCAGACGAAACGCGGAATTATTTCCACTTCACGCCAGTTTTCTGTATGGTCGTGGTATTACACCGGACGAACCGACCCATACGTGCGAAGATGTTAAAGCGGGCTCTACCACTGTTAAAATTTTCAGCTGTTTAGGCTATATACTCTAACAAACATCCATCTAAACTTTCGCATTAATAATATTCGTAAAATCAATTAGTTCACCTGAACACATGCGCGCTCTGGTGGCGAGTTCTGTCAACATTGAGTACATTGCCCTGTCAGTTAATTGTTTGTCAGACCATCGTGATAAGTGTTTGTCTTGGTTTGGTATTTTTTTATTATGCAATACCTCCATTTTGCTAACGGTACTCGAATATCGAAGTACCTTAACATGATTTATTAGTTTATCTTTGAACAACGGAGTTAGCATATTAATCTTACTGATATTATAAATGCGAAAGTTTAGATGGATGGATGTTTGTTAGAGTTTGTAGCCTAAACGGCTGAAAGTATCTTGATGAAATTTCGCATAGACGTAGAGGATAGTACTATGATACTAAAATGTTCTCAAGAGTAACAGAGGTTATATATTTATCTATTGCAAATGTTGACATTTTTGTTTATTCATTGGTGAGATGCGATGGGATGCGATGCTACTTAACAGTACAACAGGCCGATGTCCGTATGCATACTGACAACCTGTTCTACACTGTGGCCATAAGAACAGGGAATATAAAATGTTTGTCTATGGAACGTAGCAGTTATTTTTTTATCTATGATATCTATCTATATCTATCTGAAATATTGTGTCTTAATAATTGTTTAATTAAGGAATATTAAAATCTATAAAAGTCTATCTACGAATACTCTATTAAAAGGAGACTGGTGAAGAAAATTTATATTTGCTTAACAAGCTAAAGATGATAATATCTCCATTTCAAGCTATTTTATAATTATTACTGTGGAGAGGAGCAATTGCAGTGGTTACTTTTCGCCCGCTGTGTTCATGGCCACACATGATCTGTAGGGCCATCAAGTGTTATATTAGCGTTTTTACTGCGTGTTTCCACATCTTTGATAGTACAACCATTATAATGATGTGAGGAAAATTTATAAAATCACATTCAAATTATCTGAATTGTCTTATTGATTGCTTTCTTTGCGTTAGACAAAACTAACTCGCACACAGACATTAAGTTCTCCTTTATTGAACGAAAAGCTTTCGCCCGTGACTCCGTCCACGTGGAATTAAAAAACAAAAGTGAGTAGCCTATGTGTTCTTCCAGACTATCCTCTACATCTATACCGAATTTCATCGAAATCCGTCATGCCAATTAGGCTATAAACTGTAACAAACATCCATCCATCTAAACTTCCACATTTATAATATAAGTATGAAGTATGATTAACAACTGTGAGTGGGATTAATGTTTGGTATAATTTTTAAACAATTGGTATATAATCTATATTCAAAAGTAGCTTAAAAAAGGATTTTTTTGTGGAAAAATTTGTCTAATTTTAAAATAAATGGGTTACTATTTAAAATAATCTATTTATTCTTCTTTAATACTGACGTCCTGACATTTGGGATGCGTTTTTTTTTTATAGTACAATGACCTTTAGTTCTCGCTTTTATATGAAGTGTGTATTTGAATAGTATAATACAAATAGTCTACATTTGTAAGTACTTTTTGAAAGAAACCTCGCGCCCACCAATGCATATTTTAATCCAGAATTATTACTGTTACGTATTTACATAGAGTTGTTTCAGAGGGGTTATCTCGAATATTCGTCAGTGTTTACGTAACGTTGTCGACTGTGCAACGCCCCTACCGGACGTAAAGTGCACCAATGATGACTTTATATGTCAACTGTTACATTTTAAATTCATTTGGTTTATAGTTTATGTTGTATTTCGTTACTATAATAATATTTAATAATAATCATGACGACCTTAAGTACCGTTTTAATTATTATTCGTTGAAAAAATATTTGTCTATTTTGCTATTTACTAATGATGACTAACTATTTACTAAGATAAATAAATTAAGTAAGATATCTTAGAATTTAAAAAGCTTTCAATAATAAAAATATTGTTTAACATAACTGATAGTGCAAACGGAGGTTGTGATATCCAAAAAAACTATGCTGCTTTAAAAATAGAAATAAAAATTGCATTCAAAAATGTTTTTCAAATTACGTGGTTATAACAACTCTATGTGAGATATCGTCAGTCGTTCGCGGACGATTCGCACCCGGCCAGTCAGTCTGCAATAAGTCTGGATTTGTAAGAGACTAACTCTGTCGCAGTCAAAACTCCGCTCGGACAAAGTTTGAAAAGTCCACTTTTGCAGCGGCCGCAGAAGTAAGGAAATAAAAAAAAGAGTTCTTTTCTAAGCGACTAAGCGAGGAAGTAGACTTTTAAAAGATATGTGTGGCTGTTTATGTGTAATAATGTATATTTCATTAAAATAGTGGTAAATTCTAAATTAAATCAACGTGATTTAGTTAGAATTTTTTAATCAATTCCATCCATATTTTAGTTTGAATTAATCGATCTGTAATATTAAGCTTTTTGTCTGTTTTTTTTATTTATA